GGCGCCCACGCGGAACTCGAAGGCGCGCAGGGCCTCGTAGTCCAGCGCCCGCAGCGCGAACAGCTGCCCGGTGTCGGCGTTGATGGACACGAGCGAGGCGAGGTCCGGCTGCGGCTGCGGCTGCGGCTGCGGGTGCGGGTGCGGGTGTTGGGGCGGCAGCAGCGAGTAGGTGACCTGGGCATTGGAGCCTGAGTCTCTGTCTGTGGCGCTGATGGTGCCTATGAGCAGGGCGGGGCTGTTGTTTTCTGGGACGAAGAGGGTGTAGGAGGATTGGGTGAAGGTGGGGGCGTTGTCGTTGACGTCGGAGACCTGCACTGTTATGGTGTGCTGGGTTTTGAGCCTGGGTGTCCCCAAGTCTGTGACAGTGATGGTGATGTTGTACTCGGCTCTTGTCTCTCTGTCCAATGGGCTCTCTGTCACTAAGGTGTAAAAATTCTTGAAAGTGTGGTTTAAAAGGAAAGGGAGATTGTTCTGAATGGAACAAATCATCTTTCCATTGTCCCCAGAATCTGAATCAAAAACAGTGAAAACAGCAACTACTGTCTCTGGGGAGTTTTCCGGGATAGATCTGCTCAGGGTGGACATGGTCAGCTCAGGGGCATTGTCATTCACATCCAACACCTCTATAGCTACAGTGCATTTTCCCGAAAGTCCTCCACCATCTGTGGCTGCAATTTCTACATTATAATATCTGGTTTCCTCGAAATCCAAAACTCTTTTCAGACGAATTTCTCCTGTTCTTTCATCTATTACAAATGGTTCTGTAAAAGCATTGCCTTGGAATACAGTATAGAGTACACTCCCATATGGTCCTGTATCTAAATCTCGGGCAGAGACCGTAAGAACGACGGAATTCAGGGCACTGTTCTCAGGAACCTGGGCTTCATAGAGCGACTGTAAAAATTCAGGGGCATTATCATTGATGTCCACGACGTCAATGTGCACTGTGGTGGTCCCCGACCTGGGGGGATCCCCACCATCTACAGCAGTGAGGATTAAGCTGAGGTCGGCCTGATCCTCCCGGTCCAGCACTTTATCCAGCACCAGCTCTGGATATTTTCTGCCATCCCCACGACTGTGAGTGAGCACGTGAAAATGGGTGTTGGGGCTGACCATGTAGTTCTGAACAGTGTTGCTCCCTATGTCAAGGTCTTGGGCTAGTTTCAAAGGGAACACAGTTCCTGGATGCGCGCTCTCAGGGATCTTAAGAAGCGTTTCCCTCTCTGAGAATTCTGGAGAGTGGTCATTTATATCTGTGAGTTGCAGCTCGCCTTGAAAAAACTGCACCGGGTTTTCCAATAACAGTTGGAAATGCACGACACAGGACTCTGTCGCCCCGCACAGCCCCTCCCGGTCTAGCTTTTCACGTAGAAGCAAATTGCCTGTCTTTTCATCAAGCTGCAAGAGCTGTCTGTTTCCTTTGTAATGGATTCGCGCACCTCGAGTGGCCAGTTCCCCCACCCTGAGCCCCAGATCTTCTGCCAGGTTGGCCACCAGGTAGCCACTTTCTGTCTCTTCTGGCATCGAATACCTAATTGCCTCAGAGCCAGCCTCCCACAACAACAACAACAGCATAACAATAAAATCGACTTGCCTTTTGTGCAGCGTTGTTGCTAGTGCAGTCTCCATTGTTCAGATCTTGTCCAGAAGGTTCAGCTTGCTCACCTCAGTGTACAATCCACCCAGATGGACTTGTTAAAATGATAGTGAATGAAATCTGGCTGACTGGCTTGCATTTAGAATGATGCCTTTTCTGAAGATCTTTTCTTTAGATGCTATCTAAAAAGCTTCCTTCTTTTAGGGAGCAGAATTCTTTTTTTTTTTTTTTTTTTCCAAAATAATGTCATCTCGAGTTTCAAAGGAGTCATTCTTCATACTCTTATCCTGCAGCGCCACCAGGTGTCCATATTTAACTATTGCATAGTATTTACCATACCATTAATCGAAGTTCTAACCAGGGTATCAATCAATACGTTTTTTTTTTTTAATGTATTTTAGAACAGAGTCTGCAGGGTCTACAGCATCTCACTGCGTAGATCAGGCTTGTATTGATTCTCCTGTTTACAGACCCCAAAATGCTGGGATTACAGCCGTGAATCGCCTGTTATTTATCAAAGCAGCCTCCACAATTCGCAATTCCTGCAGCTTGTAAATTCTAAATAAACTTTTCCAGAGGCAAGTTTTAGCTAAACAATAGTTTGAAAATAGTCTAACATTATATGTTAGTCTCCATGAAAGTACCTTTTGAGTACACTAATCTACTTTGTTTGTGGGCTGATAGTTTAAATTTGCTCAAGTAATAACCAGTAATTCATATACACACATTTAAAAAATGTATTTTTTATCTTAATGTTATTGAGAAAGCAGTAGCAATGAGACAGTTTCAAACAGGTTAGTAGGACAGTTACAATAATTAATACATTGCATATTGTTGTCAGTGTACTCTTTGTAGTAGTTATTCATAGTGCAAAATGCAGACATGATATCTTGTCTAAACACTATTAGTTCAAAACTTTTTCTCATTGATCTATGAGAAAGTAGCTGAATACCTATGCTATTTTGTACATACAGCTATGTATATATATTTTTTCACTACAAAATGGTCCTTCATTTATATCTCCCTTTTTTTGTTTACTTTTGTGAGTAATTGGTATTCCATTGCCATTGTAGGTGCATGAATTCAGCAAAGTAATTCAATATAGTCCAGTAGTCTATAATAGTAATGGGTTATCCTCATGATTGGCAGTGTCAGAATTTGTTGACTTGAGCCTTTTACAGCTCAGCATATTAATATGGCTTTACTTTTTGTATCTCATTTTTATACATTTCTGCTGGATGGCTAAGACCAAGATAAAGCAAGGCCTATATAACAAAAAATGTAACTTTTGTATTTGACAAGGCCAGTCATATCCCCTCAGGATTTACACTGAAACCTTGTACAGCAGTTTATAGATCTTTTGTCAGTGTCAGCCGTATGGATGAGTCATGGCTATTGCTTGACCAATTTGCTCTCTGAAAGCTTGAGAGAATGTTTTCTCTCCATGTGACTCTCATTCTACATCATTGATCACTTTCCTCTGTGGCACGATAATCTCCTTTATCAGAAAATTTGGAACACCACTGAGTTACAGGATGTTATAGCACAGGTTATCTTACGTCCTGAGTCCTCACTTGAAGGGCTAGCGCCAAAATGTTGGCTATCTTAGTAGCCCTTCTTTTTCTCTAATTTTTTGGCCTGCAACCTTAAGTTGTTAACTCTCCAGAAGAGAAGCTTAATGATATTATTACCCTAAAACACAGGCTGTTTAGCTTAACATCAGGATCTGTCTGAGTATCAAATGCCTTAGACATAACATGGAACAGGTATTTTCCATCAATCGTTGATATGTTAAACTTTAAACCTGTACAGAATGTGAAAAATATACTTAAAAAATTGGAAATAGGGGCTGGTGAGATGGCTCAGTGGTCTAAAGCACCTACTTAGAACAAGCTAAGC